CTCGGGCCCGTGTCCCCTGTTGGTTTAGGGGAGGTGCCCCCCCCGCCCCGCCCCGCGGAGCAGTTCCGGGGCAGACCCGGGCCCCTAAATTGCCCCGGTGCTGGGCAATTGGGGCTTCAAGGCATCAAGCAGTCTCCACCTGCACAGCATCATCAGGGGTATTTCAGGGGAAGTCTTCTGCTGGGTGCGGGGGTGGGGAAACGCCTGTTCAGACTTCTGGGTAGAGCAGACCCTTCTGGAGACAATCACTGAGGCCTGGAGCCCCTAGATGCTGCAGACCTGCCTGGCAGGAGGAGGCGCCAGGCACCCCTGATGTGGACTCCGTGTCCCCACCTGTAGCACCCGGGGCATCATTCTGTGTCTGTCCTTCTCTGGGGGCCGCCTGGTCCGCATGTGCCCCTGGTCCCTGGACTGCACTTCAGTGCCCACCATCCTGTGTCCTCATATCCCAGTGTTGGGCCAAACTTGGGTCCCAAAGAGAAGAGTGCGTGCCCCAAAGGCGGGCAAGAGACGCTGCACAGTGACAGCAGCTACCACCAAGGTGGTAGTTTCATATTCAACTTTTCTTTTTCTGTACGGGGTTTCCTAAAATGTTTCCAATGTGCCTGTGCAGGGAACAGTCAACGTTACTGATAAGAGGCAGTGGAGGGGCCTGTGAGCACCATGCTGGGCACCCTGGATCCCCCCACAGTCCCTGCCTCCACAGGGTATCACAGCCCAGCACAGGATGGGAGGAGGCTCTCCACCGGCCTCCCCTGCACCAGCAGGCCCTCAGAGTGAGATACTGCATCTGGAGGCTGGCTTGTCTGCCTCCATGCCCGCTGCTTTGTAGAGGGGTAAACTGAGGCTGGGGAGGTGCTCGCCCTGGCCCACAATGGCTGTGGGAGAATCAGCCCCAGGCCAGTACCTGGCTTTGAGACCCCATGACAACAGCACCACTGTGGTATGACACCCCACACACTGCAAAGAGGGTCAGGGTCAGGACATGGTCCCCACATTGGAGGCTCAAGGCCAGAGTGCCAGGGAGCCTGGTCATGCACTGGAATTCAAGAGGACAGGCTTTTCTGTGGCTGCTCTGCAGTGGGCTGGGAGCTGCTGGGAAGCCCTGTCCTTAGTGGTTGGTTTTCTGGGGTGGAAGAGCAGGGCTCCTGTGAGAGAGGCCACAGCACTGGACACGAGGCTGTGCTTCCTGCCCACAGCACTAAGGGAGCGCAGCACCAAACTTGCCCTGCATTCCTGCTCAGCCTTCTGTCCTGGACACATCCTTGGTGCATCCTGGGGAAGCCCTCTTGGCTGGGTGTAGGTCTATCTGGGGACTCAGCACATCACCAGGCACACGGCGGTGCTCGACAGATGAGTGGCAAGTGGTGGGCCTGGACAGACATCCGGCTGGCTGCCCAGTGTGACCCCTGGAACAGTGACTCAGGAAGCCTGGCCCGATCCAGCTCAGAGCCACCTCCAGCCCTGGACCTGAGTGACACACTGACCTGTGCCTGGCTCTGTTGACTGCTCGCAGTCTTTGCCTGTGCAGATTTCCAGCCAGGCCTGGGAGACTCAGGGTTAACACAGGCCCCACCACTGCTGGGCATTGCATTTCATTAACAGAAAAAAA